TAAAAGAGGTGATGGTTCCAACAAACTGCAAATGAAATGGAGGTGGTTCGTCTCTGTGGGGAACCACTTTCTGATGATACCTGGCAGAGAATGTGCAGAACTTGCAAGAGCACATAAGTGCCCTTGAGAATGAGTCTCCCTACTGGCACCTCTCAGTTTCATTCAAAGCTATTCTCAAGGGTACAACTGTTTAATGAAACATACCTTTGGAAAGTGCAAAAAAATGCCTGGTTTAGCCTTTTTTTGCAGAAATTTCCTCCGCATTAAGGATGCTCTCATTGGTGATATTCTCTGTTAAGCTAGTTTATGATTCTTGAAAGTGAAGTAAAATAAAAAAAAAAAATAATCCATAAAATCATAGAATATCTTAAGCTGGAAGGAACCCAAGAGGATCATCAAGTTTAGCTCCCAGTGGAGGCAATTTGAATGCTTTCCACAACCAGAAACAGCTATCTTAGGAAAGACTCCCAGAGTAATTTGGGGAATTATTTTTTAAGCTTTCACTTTTCAGAAGACAACAGCACTTAGAAAAGGCAGGTACAGTCATCTTCTATCAACCTGAACATTTCTTCTTGACTTTATATGGCTGTGCATACAGCTTGCAGAATATTGTCTTATCTCTAGATCACGAGAAAACCATCAGGAATTTTCCAGTATAAATTGGTTCTTGTTGCATTGTGGGTCTTCTAAGGCTTGTTACTGAACTTTCTTTGTTATTCTGGTGTTGGTATGTAAGAGTCCCTGCCTGAACCAGTCACCTCAAGCTCAACACGAAAAGCCTTTTGCTTTGAAGGGACGGCAGTTTCCAATACTGCATGGCATTCTGCGATCTTATAATTTTGTATCTACTTCAGTCAGACAATATGGTAGAAGAAGCAAACAGAGAGAAGTCCCTAAAGTTTAATCTATTGCAGAAACCAACCAAAGAAAAATGAGTGTCCACAGGCTGGATTACCAAGCAGGCATGATGTGTATGCCAGAAAGGACTTCGGCAGTAAGGATAAGAAATGTCAAAATGCAATAAGGGAAAGTGTTCACAACACATCCCAATGTTGTATTGACCTGTGACAAGGGATTTCTGCATATGGAGCTATACATTTAGCAGGCAGCAAAGCAGTGAATCAAGTCAAAAAGAAAGTAGGCATATAATAGTTTATCTAGAGTTTCAGAAATTTACAGTCAGTTCATCCAAGTACCCAAAAATCTACCTTTCCTCTGCAACTATTTTACTAAATTGACCTTCACCACAAACTTAGCCTCAGCCACCTCTGTTATCACACCGTAATCACAATCTTTTTCAAATCATCATTTTGGTACTGCAGATATTCAGGTCTGATTTTTAATCACCGACACATTAAGCATCAGCAAAATAGTTTGCTTAGCTGTTCCGCTGGCAATTTTTAAAAAGGAATGAAAACATGTACCCTTTTGATTACCTTGTTAAAGTGAGTCATGACGGCATTACAGCAGTGCTCAGTATTTCTGCTGTAATTAAGAATCTGTCATATTTTTCATTAAAACACATTCTTTAAAATGAGACTTTTAACTTGGTCATTTCAATCAGTACCAGCCTGAAGTGTAGCATGTGCATGCAACATGCCAACTAGATAAAGAAAATGACATCTGAAATTTGCTTTTGCAAAATGTAAATATTAAAGTGCCCATAACATTCACAGTAATTTATCTATATTTAAAGTACAAAATAGCTTTCTCTTTTTATAATTGGTTTTCAACACTACTCCAAACTGTAAAGCACACAATGGGACATCAGAGTAAAAAGAATGTTTTGAAATAAAAATAAATGGTTATTGACAAGGCATAAAAGTGAAACTTGACTTTTTTTGTTCTGAATCACACTTTCTACAAACTGTAAATTAAGTTACTAGCGTCCCACAGATATAAAGCAGAATTTGATGATTTTTTCCAAAATTTAAGACTTAGAGGTTAGTTACTAAAAAAAAAAAATCTAAATAATATCAAGGATTTAACATGAGATGATAAAAAGAAAAGCTTGTACAGAAGAAGATAGTCAATTGGAAAGGAACTGGGGAAAATGCATATTCAGTGTATGGCATCTAATATTCTGTAGCACCTACTGGTTTGATATGAGACAAACTAAATAATCTAACACTGAAATTACTGTAAATATTCCCAATAAATGTATTGTTTCAAGTATTGTTCAAGTATTTGTTCCCAAAGTATTGTTTCAAGTAGTAACAATACTTTGCAAAGAATGTCCTTTCTCTTGCATAAAAATTTTGTTGTTGTTGTTTTGTTATTACTGACATTAAACTGGACCCAGTTCTGGTAGGGCTATTTCTACGACAATGGATTAGTTTGTCTAAGAGGTTTTTATAAAAACTTGAGAGCACTGCATTGCTGCAGTGGAATATATCAGGGTGTCACATGAAACAGCTCTACCTCTGGGGTAGTTGGAGGGTGCATAAGGTCATTGGGAATGACCTGGTCCCAGATGTGAACACAATCACTGAAATAATATCTGTTTCATGGAAGAAGTTGTGCAAAAAAGTATTTAAGATGTCCAACACCTAATTTTTGAATTGTAGGAAGTAAACAATTTTTACTAGTACTGGGTTTTAGTTAATTAACTATGTAGGTTCAATAATACACAGATGGGATATATCAAACATCCACAAACCAGAAAATTTATCTTAGTTAAAAAAGACAGAACATGACACTACTGTCAGCTCCTAACCATCCATGCCTATATTGTCTCCCATTTTATTCATTGCTTTTAACATATATTTTTTTCACCTTTACAAATGACATTTTCAAAACTATAAAATGCTCTGTGCTGCTCAAACTTTCTTGCTTCAATAGTTTCTCAATGCTGTACAAGTAAAGCTACATCCTTTGTTACTAATATACAAAAACCTATTGCTATGTGACTTTGACTGCAGGCTGAGAACAGGCTATAAATTTAGAAATCAATATCTAACTCTATCAATATTCATTTTATTTTTTCAATACAAAATACAAAGGTGAAAGAGCAGTAAATAAGCTGGAGTACTGAAATAAATTGGGTGTTCTTGTCACAATTAATAAATGTTTAACCAATCACACTGCTTGCTACAAAAGTCTATGGCTTTGTAAGGTGTCTGAAAGTAGCAGGTGCTACCCTTGTGAGACTCAAAACCAGGGAACGTTTCGATACCTCGTTAGGATCGCCAGTCATTCCCATCAGTACTACTGAAGCTAAATATATAAATGACCATTTTCAACACTGTGCATATCACTACAAGAATTAATTCACCAAAGTAATTTTTTTCAAATGCAGATGACAATTTCAAAAATACTGTTATCAACACATTGGCTCGTATTAGGGGAAACTTTGCTGATTTGCCACTCATATAGTTGAAGAAAACACTTGCAGTTAATGATTCATTTACAGATAGCCTTTCAGGTTTCACTACAGTGTTAAATATGGACACCTATTAGGAGAATGCTTTTTTCATTTCCAACTTTTGTTCATGTAAATAATTTTGGTTCTTTCTTTAAAAAAATAGTTCACAAATTCTTCTACATAAAATCTAGTCCTCCCATTGCTATATCTTAGTTAACTAAAACTACCGAAAGAAGAACAATCTCAATCCTTCTGCCCAGAACAAAATTGAAAAGATTACCTTGAACTTGGAAAAAAAAAAGCACATTAGTTAAAAGTTACCTCATATGATACCTTTATCCACTATTATTCTCGGTCGCTCTTCACATAAAGGCAAACTTTGGGGCAAAACAATCTCTAAAATTGTGAATATATGGATTCATAACATTGAATGACCACATATTTGCCTTAGTATCAAAATATTGGCTTTGCAAAGTTACGCAGAGGAGCCAACTTGTAAAATAAAATTCTGAACGCTGAAAGCCCAAGGTAAAATGAATAATAAAATTAATTTCATGATACTTGATACCCTCTCAGTACAAAATGACATCCTCTAGTACTTGAAAGTTGTGAAGTGAAAATCACCTTGTAGAAATAATTATATTATTCTCTCTTCAGCCATTAAGTATTTTTCTTTCTCACTTCACATATGTTCAGAGTCTTAGAAGCTGACCCACAGATTCTCTTTTTTTCATACTGCTGCCACTAAGGTGCCTTTATAACATTTTTAATATTATTCCTGGTCTGTTTCTGCCACTGAGGTTTGAAGCAAAGAAGTTTCAGGAGAGAGAATTCAGTCAGAATACAAATACTACGCTTCTCTAAAGACATCTACTTAAAATATATTTGAAGAATTCTATGTGTTGCAAATGTTGCTATAGTAATTTATACATGACTAGGACATGCAAACCAGATTTCCATACTAGCAATATATAAAAAATCTCACATGGGCAGACACAAAACCTAATCTTTCCAGTATGCACATATATAATTAACATAACAAACTGATGAGAGTCCTATAAATCACTGCTAAGTATTGAAAAAGTCATTTCGCAGCTGTGACATCAGCAAAATGCATCCAATGGTTGTGACCTTGCATCTGTAAAAATCTTTCACAAATGTGCTTGCAAGTGCTTCCTGTTTAATCTACAGCACTAATTTGAAAGCTGTGTTTCACAGACTTATCACCACATTTTCAACTGTTTGCCCAGGAATACACATCCTATCTTTATTGTGCAGGGTATTTAGAGCATTCATATGCATTCCACACAGAAAAAAGATACCTTATGTCTCCTTCCTTGTAATGCTTGGAGAGACATAAGCAGTAATCTTTGCTGTCTCAGTACATGAAGAAAGATTTATTCTCTTTAAAGAAGTGCTGTGCTACAAAGGACTGGAAATTGGAAATGTTTGAGGGAGAATGAAGAGAGCCTATTTATTTCTTAATCTCTATTAATAAATAAGGATAGAACATTTCTTAAGTTATATGGGAAGTTACTGAATTTATCAAGCATTTCCTCAGGTCACTGACCTACTGCTTTGTATTTAGAGATTTAACATCTTGTGGTTTGTGCTCTGTCCCAGGGAAATTGGTTACCTGTGGGTCCTGGCAGGGGAGCAGCTTTCCTTCTCCGCTTGATGTCTCCCATGCACAATGATCCCAAATGTACACTGGTTTGCCTGCAAGTAATTATAGGAGAAAACTATTAACAAAGGAAGAAAACTGCCACATAAATACACAGCTTGTATAATCTGAACCTATATCAAAACATTCTCAACCAAGATGTAGCTGCACAGTCAAGCCACCAATCTTGTTTATATAGAAATATAATTATGTTTGTTGACAAGCACTCAGTATCTAAATGCAACATCATAAATTGTTACCGGAATGAATAAATATAAATATAAAGGGAATGCTTTTTAATTTTCAAAACTGGCAATCTTTCTAGCTCAACATAAAACAAAAACACTGTTGCTCCTGACAGGAAAATAGCTAAGATTAATTATCTAAAGAGATCACAATACTGTTTGTAGGTTATCAATTGGCTAGTAATGCTTGACTGTCAGAGTAGCATTTATTACATGGAAAATATTATCAATTTTTTTTAAAGGTAAGATGAAGAATGAATGAGAAAACATGAAACAGTGAAGTCTTCAAATGTGCATGAAATAAACTTGTAGCACAGCAATTTATCCTATTCTAATTCACTGCCAAGTTGTGAGAATACTGTGGAAGCACTATCTGGTAGACTCCTTAAACAATTACGAGCTTACACTTGGAGACTGGAAAATCGGTGCAGCTGCAGAGGATGGCAAACAAGCAAATCCTACACATTAAAGACAGCTATTAGAAGTCAGGTACCACAGAAAAGGGCAAATGTGGAATTTTCAAATGATGAATTTTGGAACAGAGTCTTGAAGGACAATTATAGTTAGTATTTTTCTTAAATAACGTACAGTGCCTGCAGAATTGCATATATGTAGCTGACATTTTTTTTTTGTAAGAACTAGAACAGAAGGGGGGAAAAATGCAGTGATTTCTGAACTGCACAATTTTAATATGTTTCCATAAATGTTACTGAGAACGGTGTTTCTTACCACAGAAGTGTAGTGAATTTTGATAAAATTACAAGGTGACAATTGCATCTGACAATCTACTGTAGCATAGTAACAATCTGTCACTCATGGGATCTGGTTTCAGTGTGGATATATGACTTACCCTTTACTGCATTTATAAACTTTTTAAAGCTGTGCTGTTTCTAAATGAATAACAAATGGTCATATAATGTTGAGAGACCTCAGATCTGCTCAATAATGTAAAAGAGTGACAACAATGCCTTGATGAATAAGATGGCAATGTACAACCCTCTGCATATTTTTTCTAAAAAGTTACAATAAATTAACAAGTACCACAGTGCTTGCGTTTAAGTAATAAAATATTCCAAGAAACTCAAGTTTCACAGAGAAGTGCACTCTAGCTTCACCTAGAGTGAACCCCTATTTCAACATTTATTTCTCACTGTTTTTAAGACAGATGTTTTCCTTGTAATTCTAAGCCGAAATTGTATCCTATTTTAACATTTGGAAACTGAACACAGTTGAAACAGTATATTAACGGGGTGATAATTTTTAGTACTAAATTTAAAAAGAAATCAATAAGTGTAACCCTTTCATAACTGATTGTATGATAAAGAAAATTAATACTTAAATTCAAAATAGGGAAAAAATTATTAGACAAAAAACATTTCAGATGTTTGATCATCAATAGATCAGTATTTAACATTGGAATCAAACATGCAGGATAAGTTGTGTGATAAATTATATGTTCTACAGTGTGCAATTCTTGTTTTCTGAATGAAAAAGGGGGAAAGTCTTCAGAAATACAAGTAGGATGAAAGATAAAAATTAATAAAGTCAGGCAATTGAACCTGAAGACCTGAGCCACAGCAGTAACAGTGAGCAGCGTTTGAGTTATTTCACCAGAATTGATTATCTGTTACACTACATTGAGATATCTAGATTATTGATCTGTAAGATTATGGTACTGGGGTCTCCCCACTTTTCCTCCAGGCACACGGAATGGAGTTGCAACAAATAACACTAAGTAAGGACTACTTTGTTATTGTTGTCACCCTTCATGTAGAACATAGCAGTTACTTTTTAATTTAAAATCAATGAATGTCTGAAAGGCAGCCTTGTTCCTTCAGCATAAATGAATCATTCGCCTTTGCCGAGCACAACAACCCAATCACCAGCCAAGGTGAGAGTGGGTATTTCTTTGTTGTCGTTGAAAATTCTGTACACTACAAATAAATAACAAAATGCTAGAGTACCAATTAAGCTTTGTCAGACCCAGTTTTATGGCCACTACCACCAAACGTTCAGCTAACTTGCGACTCTAAAGCGTCATTTGCCTTTGCCAGGGCTTAACATTTGATATGCTCTGCCAATGTAGACCACAGCAAAACAAAAAGCTCTTATTCATTCATTTATTTATTTATTTAAGAGGATCAGACAAGAACTATTACTGCTCTGGAACTGGCAGGTTAGACAAAAAGAAGCAGTATTCTGAAGCTGCACGGTACGTTTTGAAATGCCTGTAATGGGGGTATTATAAAGTAGGGAGAACTCTGACCCTCAATCAGGCTAAGTTCAGCATTATGTTTCTTAGCATTAAATCAGAAGAGCGCAGATTACAGAAAGGAAGGAAGCTATTTGCCTGACTTCTCTCTACTTACCCCTAGCTTGCTTCCAGCTATCATTTATAAATAGTGCTCTGGAGGGAAGCTAGGCATTTTATTAGGGAAAAAATAAAACTTGTTAAGACCACCTTGCCTGAAAACCTGGCTTTTGACGTGCTGGTGACAGGGACTGGAGCAAGCAGTGTCAAATGGAATAATTTTTAAGGAAAGACAACAGGAACTTGTCGCCTCATTGTATGCATTTACAAATAGAGGCTTTTCAGAGTATTAGGCCTAGTTAAAGCTGCCCTCTGGATAAAAAGTGTTCCCAAGCAGCCTCAGACAAGCTTGGGAGACAAACAGATGTGACTATGGTCCCTGGCGTTTGGCAAGAACACTCACTGTCAATAAGAAAAATATGAGCATGGACAGGGCATCAGCTGCACCACGGCCGAGCAGGCCTGCAAGTGTCATAGCAGCGGCAAAGTTGTGGCAGAGGGAAATAAGAGGGCTGCAAAAGCCAGGCTGGTGTGAACTTACACTAGCATGCCAAGAATTTTTGTTGTTGTTTTGTTGTTGTTGTGTCATGCCTCAACGTATTAAACAAAACACTGGAAAAGCCGCTGTCAATTTTTATTCATTTTTCATCTTGCACACAGTGTTTAGAGTCCCCTTTCTATGTGGTAAATAAGAGCCTCAAAAATGAAGACAGACTGGGAAGGCAGCAATAACAAAAAAGCTATTGAAATAATAAATAAGACCCACAAAACCAGATTTGAGACAGCAAACACTTTTATAGAAGCAACGACATGTAAAGCAATTCACAAGCATTTTCACTATGCATTTTTGTAAAACATTCACTCTGACAGAAATTTTGTTATTCCCTTCTTAAATAGTTGCAGTTTATCAATTTTTTTTCAAGGTAGTTGCCCTTACTATGGTAACGTGCCTAGAATTGTCTCTTTAAGGTTCCCAAACGTTTATACTTGTGTCTACACAACACAATCTCTTTTTCTGTAATTTTCATAGCTCATTAAGCAAATATTTTTGATGAGTACCTTTTCAGCAGTTACACATATTCGCCTCTCCAAGACATTTGTAAGAGGCCACGTCAGATTTTTATCTACTCTGACCTTTGCAGTCCATGGACCACTTGGTTAAATTCTCCAAATAAACATCTTGTTCTGTGGGGGAACCTACAGCTGTGCTGATTTAAATGCAATCCACCTTCTGAGCTGAGAACCCGAAGTTGTTCTTCACCCTTTCACGAGTAGTTATCACCTTTGCCAGTTCAAAGTTCACCAGTCCAGTCACTGAGAAGAACAATACAATAAAATGGACAGTAGAAAGTCCTGAACACGTGCTCTAGCCCTCTGGTTTATTACGTGCTTCTGCAATCACTATCATCCAGGTGTAAAAAAACAAAACAAACCCCCAACCCACCACCAAAACCAAAAACCCCCAATCCCTCTCCACCAAGATTAAAAGACCCTATTCAAATGCAGTAACTGTTCTACAGTCTCTTCAGAAAGGTGCAATGGAGACAGCTTTATACAGTGAGTATAGGCTTCATAGGCACTAACACAGTGGCCAAAACTAGCGGGACTGTCATCTCCTAGGGTGAATCCTGTGCGATTGTGTATTAAATACAAAACATTTGCATGCTTATTTTATATGTCTCATTGTAAAAACAAGTCTGCCGATCACTTTACTTTTTCTGTCTGCTGTTAGCAGCTGTCACTTGCCCTGCAAACTGCATTTCTTTATTTGATACCAATGCAGTTGCTATTATTGGTGCACTATAATTGTGCTGATGGTTACAACACTGAAGGCAACTTAATTTTGATTTTGTCCCTTAAGTATATTTATTGTGAAACTGCTTACCAGATGACACTACAACATTGCTAAGACTAGTTGTAAGTGATGGAGGTGATGGTTTTACACTCTCTGTCTAAGATGCACACAAGTATTGGTTAATAACGAAGACCGGTGTGGAAGAGTGTGTTTTTTGTTTAATAGTATTTATCAAATTTCTGTACTCCAACTTCGAAAATCCTATGTAGCATATTATTATGATGCAATGTTTTCAAGAACACTGATTTCTATTCCATAATTTGATGAATTGGTAATGATCAGTACTTGCCTATCCATTATATTCCACTTAGCATCTCTCTCACCTGAGGAACAAACATACAGCAAACAGTTACACCCCGTTCTGCCACAGTATCAATGCATTCCTGCAGATGGCTGTAGAACTCTGCAAGTTTATCACTGCTGAATGCTTCAGCTAATAGAGAGGCTTGATAAAAGTTTATATGTGAACTTCTTTCACAAGACATCACAATAATGCAAAAGTTGACTAGTTTGCATTTTAGAAGGGACTTGAGAGAATTATTTTGAAGGGCAAATCTAACTGAAACTGTCAGTTCTGTCTTAAAATATGGATAGAAAATAGATATTCATATGGATATGATTGAAGACAGAATGCAGTGAGGACCA